AGATAGACACTGGGATGTTACATATAACATTATGAGTTTCACATTGTTAAAGCTATTCTGTGCAAATATTTTATGCACACCATTTGAGAATCCAAATGTCCTGAATACAAATGAATACTTTAATGGAATTCTGAAGCTGTATTGTAAAAAGCAAACAAGACAGTCAAGACAAAATCTAAATTTGTTTTAATAATTTAATTTAATAAATGAAGTGTCTATGATTATTAATCTTCTTTCATATTAAAAAGTAAAATCCTATGATACACTTGACTTCACCTGAGATAATGACATACAATCACAGGGCCATCTTATAACAATTAGCTGGCAGGAATTCATATCACCACTAGTCTTTTACTTTTCTATACCTAATGTATAGTCCTTATTTCCCCAATATTGCATAAAGCTAAAATAAATGTATCATTGGGGATTATAGGAGAATTTCAGTGTTATCAGGTCTCTATTACACTGTAATGAACCTAAGTTGTTCTGAAAGATCAAGGCAATATTGTTTAATCAAATATTTTTGCACTTTCCAGGCCTGAAAACAATTCAGAACTGATAGGAAAATGTAATTTTTCTCCTGGAAGAATAAATCTGTTCTATTATGACTGTGATGTTACAAAACCTAACAGATGATGTTTTGGTTGCTATTGTTATAAGAACTGAATACAAGCATATAAACAGAACAAAATACTTTCATTTAAAATATGCAAAATGATTGAGTTTATTTAACAATTTAAAGACATCTTTTCTACTTGGCAAAGACATTTCTATGATGTTTATCCATAAGATATTTCTTATATAGTTCTTACTTGCAGCTTGCCATTATAGTTGTTTGCTCTGGCATGTGGAGCAACATGGAGTATCTTTAGGATAACATTTATTGTTGGTGAACATAAATCCTAACATTCTGCCACTCCAATCTGTGTTTGTCAAACTGAATTATTGTTAGGCAAAGCAACTAATTCTTTTTTCAACTGTTCATATTATCGGTTGGCAACTGATTCTGATGAAAAGTACATCTGAATAAGGTGAAATTAATATATACCAAAGTAATGCATATCAAAAGGGACGCGGTGGCTCAGTGGCTAAGACGCTGAGCTTGTCGATCAGAAAGGTCAGCAGTTCAATGGTTTGAATTCCTGCGTAATGGAGTGAGCTCCTGTTACTTGTCCCAGCTTCTGCCAACCTAGCAGTTTCAAAGCATGTAAAGATACAAGTAGAAAAATAGGAACCACCTTTGGTGGGAAGGTAACAGCGTTCCGTTAGCTTTCAGTATTTAGTCCAAGGGTGGTTGCTGCTGGCATTACTGCCAGTTCGCTTCACATGCATACATATTTGCCCACAAATACAGCTATGCATGCACACATTAAAAATTAAAAATTAAATTTGTTCAATGAAAATTGTTCTATGCATGTGCAGAACTAAAAAACAAGAACTGGAGAACTGGTTTGGGGGTGTGGCAGGCCTGGGTCACTGCTGGTTCCAGTGATCCAGGCTGCCAGACCACTACCGGTTCGGTTGAACCAGTCCAAACTTGTAGGAACCCACCACCAGTTTAGCCATGTCAGACACATGATCATGGAGATGTCTTTGGACAATGCTGGCTCTTTGACTTTGAAACGGAGATGACACCAACCCTGAGAATCGGGAATGACTAGCACATGAACTAGTGAAGTATTCCTGCTGTTTAAGACTTTTGCAGAAATCATGGCACCTATAGGCACTAATCTGCCCATTCTAATTCATGAATACCAGTGCCTATGTTGCAAAAATGGGCCCCTTCTTCAGAAGAAGAGAGCATTTGTTTTGAGGGAACCTGCAGTTTGTGGGAGAAAAACCCTTGGGAGAAAGCAAGGAAAAAACAAAAGATAGTAAAGATAGTCTGTGTTCAGAGACTATAGAATGCTTATTGTTTAGAGCATTGTAGAAATCCGTCAAATGGAAATGAGTATCAGGCAGAAGAATTTGATTGGCTAACTGACTTAATCTATGAAAAACATCATTCTGCTTTGTAACTGTCTGGTTCTTATTTTTATTATGTTTATATTCAGTTATTGTACTTGAGTACTGGATTTATCAAATACTTGGTCTATGTGGCCAACATTCTCAGCACTCATTGCAGTGTCTTAAATGCACCTGATTCCCTCAGGTCAATTTAGCTGATATTTAACCAGCTGACGAATGACTGTCTGGTTCTCTTAAGATGAACATTGACTCCATGTATTATTCTTTTATTGTCTCTCTTTCCATAATAGCTCTTTTCTAAAGGTCGGATTCAATTTCCACTTTCACAAGTGTTGTAAATCACCAAGAGATTCCAAGGAAGTCACTATACAATGTGAAATAAATATGAGCTATAAATTAATCTGCTTGATTTATTAGACAGACATTTCCTTATCACTAAAATTTTGTCAGGCATTTTAGAAAATAACTAAAAAGATAGTAAGAAAGGGCTGTCAACTGATTTGAAGAATGGACAATTTAGTGTACTATATCATGAATTCACTTAAAAGCTGAAATGGAGCCTCAGTTGAGATATTTTCTCACAGCATTGTCATACAGATATACTTGCTTAAAAGCTGTCTTCCCTTTAGCAACTTTTTGATATTATGACAATGCTGAAAAACTAACTTTACAACCAATTCTTGTGCTTATAACTGTAGTAATATCCTTGTGATCACATGATCACCATTCAACTGGTGGGTCTTTACAACCATCACACAGTTACATGATCACCATTTGCATGCTTCACAGCTAGTTTCCAACAAGCAGAGTCAACGGAGAAGCCAGGAATAAATCATAAGTTATAATCATATGATGCCTAACTTAACCACAGCAAAAGTGAGGTCATAAGCACACTGCAGTCCTATGATGCTTCATTTAACTACCATGTCACTTAACAATAAAGTTGTTGCTCCTAATTTGGATTGTTAATCAAAGACTGTATTGTGCAATTGATTCAATTTAGATTCAAGGTATCTCCGCTGCCAGATTTGCTAATGAAAGAAAAATTTGTTATCTATATGTGAAATATAAAGATATTATTAATAAGTGATTATTTGCCACAGTGAAAATGACTGAGTATCTATTAAATCCTCACTAACTGTACTCTGTGTACTATGGTGAACTATGTGTATGTCATTTCTTTGCTTTTTTTTCTTAACTCCTGACACCTGGTTGTTACAGTCTGCTTCTGTCTGTCAGATTAAAAGAATACAGTTAAAGTTTAAGAATTTCCTGATTTTTTTTTTTAAAAAATACCTACGATATGGATCTAGAGTTGTACCAAAATAGAGAACCATTTTAAACTAATACCTCTAGGTTTTCAGACTATTGAATATGTTGCAATCTGTCATAAGGAGTTAGGAACAAATGGTGATCCATGTCAAAGAGAAATATGCTTATGAAAATCCAAGTATGGTTTCATTTCAATATGTCTTTCCTACTGTTATCAGGAAAGCAAAGATTAATATAACAATATATTTTCTAAATGATTTGAAAATTATGTCCAGAATTTTAGAGAATACTTCATTTCATATTGTAATGCCTGCTTTTATAACAGTGTCTTTTACTAGGTTATTCACTGAAATCAGTCACAGAAGTTAATTATAAAGCCCCCATACAAATGCTATGGATAAATGCATGAATTAATTTATTAAGAGTAAAAAGAAAATCTTTAAGTGTGCAAACAGAAATGGTTTTTAATTATATGGAGTAAATTGAAAACGTATTTCTATCCTTTTTCCCATTCATATTATAATAGGCTGTCTTTGATCAATAAAATCATACTTTATGGCTAATTTTCATATTACTTTTGCCTGCGGGCATGCTTTAGGATACTTGCCAGAGACTATTTGAAATAAATTGGCAAAACCACAATTTTAAACAGTAATTTGGAAAGAAGAAAATTACAGGCATCAATGTAGGTTTATTTGTTGCAATGGTAGAGCTGCATGAGTCCTTTCTTCTTTTTTAAAAAGGCAAATGTTTCTGACTGCTTTTTTCTTCTGAGAAGGATGAGTTGTTCACCTCCCTCCTAACTGCCAATCTCTAATTCAATAATTTCATTCTAGTTGTCAGCCATTAGTGCTGACAACTATATCCTAAATAAGTGCTTAAAAAGAGTACTATACCACAATAAGGGAGCATGGCAAAATGTCCCTGTAAATCTAAAGGTTTATATCCCTCAAAGGGCTTCCTCAGCTTCATGGAATCAAAAGTGAAGCAAAGATTATGAGCGAGATGTTACGCAGCATTGCTTAAAATGGTCCAAAGTGCTGTTAATATTTTAAGAAGACAGGTGTATATTTGGACTGTTTTCTTAAAGATTGCATTGGACTTATGAAAAAGTATTTCAGGTTTTGTTCCATAGCTTAGGTTAAAGCTCTAAATTTTCTTGCAAACCTAATCATGTAATTTGTCATTCATAAAACATTTAATTATGTAATGTAAGTGCTGTTTTGGATGTGTTGTATCTTATTCTATGCTGTAGGCATACTCATGAAATAGAACAAATCATTAAAAAACAAGGCAATATTATCATGGATCATTCCTTAAAGAGCCAGAACAAGAAGACAAAAGAAGGAACTAGGAAAATATTTCTCAGATTGTTATCAATATCAGTTTGATATTCCTTAAATAATCCTGACATCAATGTGGCTGAACTAAATAAATTTAATTGACAAAGGTCCTTAGTAATATTTTCAGTAAACAGAATCTCAAAAGAATTATTATTCTTAAAAAAATATTGGCTGATATTACGAGAGACAAGGGCTTACACTGGCAATGTACTTGGAGCAATCTGGAAATCAACACAACAGTTGAAAAGCTAGTGGGAAAAAAACAACTGTTTCCTGCTAGGCTTCCTAAAAATGGGAATGATAAAAAAAGATTATTTACTGATTTGGTTTTAATACCTGCTGTCCAACTGAGAATGTAACTAAATTGAGAAACCATTATATATGATTTCATTTATTCTTTTCTTTTTCCTTATATAGGAGGTACATGCCAGAGCCCTGCTCTTCCAACCCTGGTACGATCTTCAATCCCCTCCTTGCCACCATCATTGGATCTCAAACCCTTTCTTCCATTCCCACTGGACACTGCTGCAGCTGTCAATCTCTTCCCCAACTTTAATGCTGTAAGTACTATAGTTAAGTTTTAGTTCCATGTTGCATACTTCCAGTTAATTATTGGCAAGCCAAAGAATATCTTCATACAAATGTGTACACACATAGACACAACACATTGCAAGTACACACAGTAAATCTGCAATTAGTCTCTGATGATGTTATCCAGTTTGGATAATGAAACATCTGCAAAAAAAAAAGAAAACCCAACCAAGCTCAGAGATCACCAGTGACTTCTTATTTCAACCCTGAGCTACAAATGTTCTCTTTAAGAGTAATTTTCTTATAATTCGTTTCTGTCAAATTAGTTATTGGATTAATTATAACTAATGAAATAACACATCAGATCTATTATTTTGAAGTAATTAATTATAAATTAATATTTATCTACTTTTTCCATGAGTTCTAAATAAAAACTCAAAAGAAGTATTTAAATTATTTATAGTGACATAAACTAAACTGATAAATTTCTCAGTATCATAGTAGTGTGGAAATTAATAATGTTGAATCATTTTTAACAAGCATACTAAATAGCTGAGCTTTCCCATGAATCACTCTATTTGTTCATTATATTCTTAAACTGCCCAGTAGCTGCATTTCTTTGGTTTAATTAAGACTATAAAACTTAAGGATGACAAAACACTAGATCGGAATCACTAACTGGAATGATAACATAGTAGCAAATGCACCAGGAACAACAGATAAAACTTAAAGAGCACTAAAAGAGTTGCTGAAGTGCTAGGAGGTTTTTTTTTTTAAATCCTCCACTTAATGCCCCAGAAGACCATTAAATGTGTGCCAGATGATTCTCCCCAAAATATTCCACAGATAGAATAGAATAATATAGCAAAAACCACATGTTAAACTCCTCAATGAAAGAATAAATCTTGATTTATAATACAGTCATGCCTTCTGAATATGGGGAAGATAGAATGAATTAAAACTTGTTCCTCATACATTGAGGAATTGCATGATCTTCCTTTTCCCTCCCAAAGCACACAGGTGTTAACGTTGTTTTCAAAGGAAAATGCTACAGACATATCATAAAGATATATTCTACTTACATTTTGAAATGGAACTCAGATTGTAGAAATTTTCCTTATGTAGGTATATACTGTACTTCTAACAAATGGAATAAATTTCCATTTATTTACCCTGTTACAAGTAACCCTAATTTAGTGACTACAATTGGGACTGACAACCTGGATATTGAGTAAAGCAGTTGCTAAGTGAAATGTAATCATTTTACTTTGCTTTGCATTACAGACCTGCGATGGTTTAAATCCAAGGACCAGTTGCAAAGTTAATTTTTGTGGCAGTTTCTAAATAAGGACTGTATATTAAGAAAATCAGCACTTAGAAACATTATTCTGCTAATTGCCCTTTATTACAGTGCTGATGTCTATTGAAATTCTGAAGGGTTGTTTGACTACAGATATTGGTGTAGTTCTGAGGAACTGACAAAGTTTTTATGATTTTCTGACTGCAACACAAATAATTTATACTGTAGCATAAATATTATAAAAGACACACAGAGACGTAGAAACATAATGTCTTAAGGATGTGGAATGTCTTAAGTTCATAGAAACCTAAGCTGCAATAGTATTCATATTTTTTAGGATGAAATGTTACTGAAATCATTGCATTTATTACATTAAACTGAAATTTTGTGCACACATAACTGGGAGTTAAGTCTGCTGAAGTCAGCTGAGACTTGTTTATGAATATTCATCAATAGTATTATCTTCTTAACTGGTTGTTCCATATCTTACCAGATGGGTCCTGTTAGGAAAGAGGCACAGAAATAAAACAAAGCTGTGTAATTGCAAAACACATATGTTCCCTATAGCTGTTTTCATATTGTGAAAAAAATAATAATAACTTGGACAGCTCTTACATTCATTTCATGAATACCCATTGTCTGCTTTCTTCTACTTGAGTTTAATTAAGAAGCACAATTAACTATGTAAATATAATTTTTATAGTTAACATATGCAGTTTTGACATTATTTTGACTTTTAAGAGTTTATAAATACTCCCCTTATGTTTTTTTCCTACTGTCTGGATAATAAACAAGTTTATATTGAGAAGAAAAAAAACCCAGAATCATTACAAATGTTGAGCCTTAAATTTTCAAGGATAAGTTTAAGCTTTATACATTCTGAGATACAGGTAATGCTCAACTTACAACTACAATTGAGCTCAAAATTTCCATTGCTAAGCAAGAGAGTAATTAAGTAAGTCATGTCCCATTTTAAAATCTTTTTTTTTGCAAGGTTGTAAAGTTTAAACTATTTTTAAGCAAATCACTTGTTAAGTGAATCATGTGTTTGTTAAGCAGAACTGGCTTCCACTATTGACTTTGCTTGCCAGGAGCTTCCTAACAAAGTTGCAGATAAAAACCCTGGGATCTTGAAATTCTACAATCATTGTAAGATATGCTGGTTGCCAAACACCCAAGCTTTGATCACATGACTGTAGGGATGCTGCAAAGGTCATAAGTGTGAAAACTGATTATAAATTATTTTTTTTGGTGCTTTTGTAACTTCTAGCAGTGATTAAACAAATAGTTGGAAGTCAATAACTACCTGTATGCATATAACTATATGCAATATTCTGCCTTAAAAAAAAATCCAAACTTTGAGTCATGTTTATATTATGCACAGTAAAATGAAAAAAAGAGCAGACAGCAAATACAATAACAGTATACACAATTGGCATCTGTGAGTCATTAATTTAAAAATGGCATTAAAAATAGAAATGGATTTTGGGTGATTCTATTTCCATGCTTCATATCTAGTTCATGCTCATTCCAATGCATGTTTAATGCTAATGAATTTTGACGTACTAAAATAAAATAAAATAGCAATAATAAAAGGGAAAATATATATTGCAGTAGTTTATAGATTTGGAGAACAAAATGTAGAAAACTGTAAGACATCAAAGATGGTAATTTGGTTATCTCTACATTTTCCATAATTTATTGCCTATATTTTTCTTATATCATGGAGACATTACAAAATAATTACCATTCATCCTTCTCGGAACACCTGGGAGTACAGAAAATAGAAATTTCATATTAAAGTATTACTGCATGCTACCAAAGGGAAAACATCTCAGGGAAATGCACAGCCCATGGTGTAAAACCTTGAAAAAATGGAAGTGATATTTCCATCCTTCCACACTAATGCTGTGTTCTGAATCTATCCATATATTTGTAAATAATCAAAGCAATTTTTTAATTGTAATTCTCAAATCATATTTTCTGCATTTCAAATTTTATAAAAGCTAGTCCTGACATTTTGCTACTTTGTATTTGCAAGCAATAAAAAATCTTGTTGATTGCAGTGATACAGACATATATGTTTAATAAATAAACATAACAAAATGGACAATTTGAAAAAGAATTGTATAAAGCATGTCAACTATTAACTCTTTATTTTTTATATCAATCTGTACTCCTGACAACTTCCTGGACTAATCTTTTTGAGTAAGATTTTTGGAAATGGTTTGGCTTTCTCTGAGGGTTGACGGAATGAATAATCCAAGGTCACCCAGTTGGTTTCAAGCCTGAGGTAGGACTATCACTCACAATTGCTTGATTTCTAGCCCAGTGTATTTTAATCACTATACAAACTAGTTCTCTATTATTAATATGCTATTTTATACTTGCTGTCTTGAAGAAAGGTAGAGTGTAGATGTATAAATAGGCAGACTGACAGAATAAAAACAACTTTTATTCTGTTTTTTCCTTTTTCAATACATCAAAATGAATAGACCAATTATTTTTTTCATTACTCAACTATAGAGCAACTTCCCATAGTCAGTTTTTCTTACAATGTTTTATCAAACAGCTCCCTTAGAATTAATATGGGATATTAAGATAAACAATAACTTTAATACAGACAATAAATTATGATTTGTAAGTCTTGAAAGAAAGAATCATAGGGAAACACAAACGTTCAAGAGTTCAAGTTTAATTCTGCAAATCCATGTGTAACTGTATAAGCACATTCACTTCATTCTACAAATGAAGTTTGGTCAAAGATTCAGAATATTATTTGTTCAATTCTAACATAGCTTATGAATAGCAACCTCAAATTTCACATGCTATGGCAAATAACATGTTGACACAAGAAAGTAAGATGCAGTGTAAATGGCATTTTACATTGTAGCCTATTTTTTCTTTTCATGATAATTATATTGAAATCTGGGTTTGTACCTAATAAATTTATACTGTGCTATGTCATTCCTAGATCCTTGAAAATCCCACTTTCAGTATCTGCTTCATGTTTCCATGAAATGTTGTTGAAATATTGAAATATCATCTACCACATGTCATTTTGATTTTAAGATAGCATGTGCTAAAGCAGAACAATAAAGCAACCTACCTTTTAAAAAATCTACTTAAATCTATCACACTGCTATTTGTGAATTTTGCTTTTTGAATTTTGATCTCTGATGGAATAGAGGTATAGACTTCTTACAGTGGCAGCAATAATGAGATTTTGTTTGGCAATGTGACCTTTGTTTTCTAATGTAGTTTCCTGACGTTCTGGATTATACTGAGTTCCATTTACTACCAATTTCTATGCCTGAATTAGCTAATAGTGTTCAGTAAACATATATTTTGCCTAAGAAAGGCTAGTGCATTTCTAACATGTCCCTCCCTGTTTGACAAACCTTTAGGGACATGTCATATCAACTAGAACATTATCAGCCTAAGGAAAGATAAGCTGTAGGTTAGATTTGACTTAATAGGACAATTTGACAAGCACATACTTTTTAATGTTTCTGAAAAGAGTTCATGCCCTTTTAAAAAGATTTTATGAAGAATTGTGTGGCTTATGAGGCTATGTGTATGGTTTTTTCTTTGCAAGTACCTAATTTTGCAATTTTACCTTTTCAGCAAGAAACACAAGATAAAATTAGCTGAAATATTTTGTTCTGGTCATTTGAATAGTTAAAATAAAATCAAAGAAATAATATCTAAAGATTATTATGCAACTTA